TTTTTTGTATGTGAAAGACTTATAATATGAGCTGAAAGGCTGCAAAATTTTGTGAAGATGTACAACCTATATTGAAAGTTAGAAGTATTAAATCTATAAAGACTTTAATCGAGTACAAAGAGGTCACGTGGTTGGTCAAATTGACCAAGCCCATGTTGAGAGAGTTAAACACTTCGCTCTGAGAGTTTTTACACTTCCACAGAGAACACTGAAGACCCCTTCTTCAAAATGTTACATCCTTAGACTTCACATTGTTCAAAAATCTTGTTACAAAAGCATCCTTCCATAAATCTGTGTTGACACTGTACTGTCAAATGGTTGAAAATTCTTTGAGAACCATATCTATAAGTGGTAGATATGCCACCATGTGTTCCATTTGTATCTGGAACAACACATGCTACTGCAAGAGCACATACAAATATTCAAATGAAGTGCAATTAGCCCTCTGGATAATTCCTTTTTACTTTCTCTTTAATGATAAAATCCTCCTTCAGTTATTATTTTTCTTGTTATAACAGAGAACAAAATAAATAAGCACCATAAAATTTTATTAAAGCTGCCTAATATTTTAATTGAAAGAAAATAAATTGAAATGTAGTTAAAAACAGTAACACATAAAAATACAAATTTATTTTCACCAGAAACTAAACAAGCACTAACCTTCGATAATTCTGCAATACGAGGAAAATAGTCTGATAAGGTAAGATAACGACTTCCAAACTGAAACCGTGAAATCTCAGGAAGATCATAATGAATGAGACATTGTGCATCTCTAACTTGAAGAGCAGGTAAAACATTGTCTGATACAACCAACACAGGATGCGATCCACTGGCATGTGATGTGTGCCATTCTTGAGCAACTTCTAATACATTTATAACAAAATAACATTAGTTAATTTCTGTAGAGCACACTGGAGTATAAAGGACATCTTAATCCTACAAATAATCAACCAAATTTAGTTGCTGTTGTTTTCCAAGTTAAACAGACACTCAACATTTCACTTCAAAAAGGTTCAATTAAAACACAAGCCATAACTTACAGTACAAAATTTCAATCGTTTTAATATAAGAAATTATAATATTTATTTCTAGAATTAAAATATTAAGACAAAACTTAAGTTATTTCTTATGTAATTGTGATAGTAATTTCAGGTTTGAAAATAATTGATTTTTCATTCTCTATTTTTTTTTTCTAGTATCATGCAAACAATACATAATATTCCATTGAAAATTACCAAACAAATAAATACATGTAATGCTAGAATATTACACAACTAGTTTCAATATAAACTAACTGGTTAGAGGAGTGGATACCCAATTTTTTCCAAGTCTAATAACCAGTATCCCTTTTTGTTCTCATACTACCTCACTTGATAATATGCCAGAATCTTTGTAATTATTGATATTTTTTTGCTTTTCCATCTTTTATTATTATTATTGCATATCATCTGAGAACCAAGCATTGACCCCCTGGGGACACATGTATCACAGTTTGAGAAATAATGAATTACTGTAAATAAATGGTGATCTAGCCACTATGTAATAGGTTCTGTCAACTCTTTTAATCTGTATTTTATACACGTTGCATCACGATACTACTTGTTAACTACCATAATCAAAATAAAATATACCCAAAACTTTAGTCACTTACCATTCAAATCATAATGTACCATATTATCATGAGCTAATATGGAGTAAATGGAGAAGTTTTTCAGGATTTTGTGAACCTCAAGAGCCGAGGCAGGGCTAGACACACAAACTACTATCTTCAAACCTTTGTTGTTGCTCACGAGATCTGTTAACCAGTCAGATTTCTTTTTAGAATTAACAGAGTTTTATTTACATATATTCAAAAACTAATACAAAAGTAAAAATAAAATTATTATTTCAAACATAAGAGCCATATAATAAAATCTAATCAATGAAACTAACTATCAAAACTCTGAAATTGTCTACAAAAACATACGTGTCCAGCTGGTTAAAGCAAACAAAGTTAAAGGTAACAATATTTCTATTAATTACCTGAAATTTTCACAAATCAGTTGAAATACCTTATTTATAATCTCATAAACTGCCTATATATTCATCTCCTCAGGTCTGAAATGCTGTTATGTAGTTTGCCTATTTTTTTCTATAAACACATTTTTAAATTTATACGAGTTTATACTCAGCGTAGCATTCATGGATCAGCAAATATACAGTTGAATGTCACAAAACTACAACCAATATCAGAAATGCTTGATTCTTCAGAAATAATTGTTACATAAATACACATTTGAAAAAATTAGTAACGTTACGGACACATGGAAACACTATTTAAAATTTGTTACAAACAAAATTGCATTTAATAGTCACAAAATGTTGAACAAAACGAAGTCAATATTCAACAAAGCTATGCACTGATACAATGAGCACAAACCTTGATACCGTATAATCACAACAATAGAGCTTGTAAAATAACATACAGAAAACATTATTTAGAAAGTTCTCTTACTCAGAAGTGTTGTTGATCTTTGGGAACTGTCACATATTTCAACAAAATTGGGAATAAGTGCATAAATTGCTGCTTCAAACAGAGAGCTGAAAAACACAAGGGGATCTTTCATGCAGTTGTACATAAAAGATTCAATCCCTTTCGTCCATTTTTCAGTGCAAAGAATAATCTGGTTAGGTGCAGCTATATCTCCTCGCTGTCTCACACTCGAAGCATATTCCATCAAGACTTCACGTACCTTAACAGTGATAAAGTATGTAAGCTGCATCATATTTGTTAACTAGGGTTAGTTTTTATGTTTTTTAAACATTTTTTTCTGCACATCTTAAGGACGTGTTAACTGAGAGAAAATGTAAACCATGCAAATTTATATTACCTAATGCATGAATATCAAATATACCTTCCTTCAAAAATATTACAATCACATTTCATTTTAGAATTTGTTCATAATATACATTTTTATACAATACTGATTAAGAAACTCTGTCACATAAATTAACATCTCTTTTTTCAAAAACTCAGTATATTTGAAAGTATATCAAAAATATGCCATAAGATACTTCTGTCGTCTTTCACATAAAATCATTCTATCAGGTAAGGTTAGACCCAGGTGAATTTATGTTACTCACCTGTTTTGTAAACTCCTCAACGAGTGTTTCTCCATCATCAAGCACCAGGTGGCAGCACCTCCTTAAATTTGTGACTTTACCTTCATGATTCTGCAGCATCCGAAGAAAGCTACTGGGAGTTGCAATTAGGAAATCACATCCATTTATCAATTGCACCTGTAACAAAACAAAAAAACAGCCTAGTCATACAGAATTTACTACTACTTTAACACAGCCTAGTCATACAGAATTTAATACTACTTTAACACAGCCTAGTCATACAGAAGTTACTACTACTTTAACACAGCCTAGTCATACAGAATTTAATACTACTTTAACACAGCCTAGTCATACAGAAGTTACTACTACTTTAACATAGCCTAGTCATACAGAATTTAGTCCTACATTAACATAGCCGAGTCATACAGAAGTTACTACCTCCTGGGATTTTTCTGATCCACCTCCATGTAACATCAAACACCGAGGCCTTTTAGTTCCTCCAACAATTTGCTGGAATTGGCTATGTATTTTTCGGACTTTCTTCCAAGATGAGCAGAGAATCAGCACGAGAGGCTATTTCAAAAATTCAACATTACCTGGCACTTATTTTTTTTATGTCAAAGTATATAATACTGTTCACTATCAACATAATTTTAAAACTTTTATAATGTATCTCATTCACTGTAAATATTGTTGCAACTATCAGAATAAATTTTGTTCTTGAAAATGTATTAACATTTATAACTGGTGCTCAAACTGATAATACTAAATGCTTGTCCATAAAACGAAAATAAAACAAATACCATTATAAGTCTACAGAAACATATATAAGCACCATGAACTCTTAGGAATACACACTAAATGTGGATATACAAAATGGTAAATGGTTCTATAAGTGGTATTTTTATTGATATTTCTTCCTGAGCAGCAGTAATAATCAGGTCTATACTAAAAATGCTACTAAAACCTATAAATAAATTAGCATTTTTGTACGATCCTGTAAACCAAACACAATAATGAAATAGAAATCCTAATAAAACCTACACACAAATCAACATTTTTATACCCCACATATATCTGTACATTAAACTTTTATAGTTTTGTGTAACTATCTTTTTCCATTATACCTTGGAGCTTTTCAAGCATTAAAACTTTTATTTATACAACACTTACTTTTATAAATCAGTTAAAAAAAGATATTAAGTAAAATTTGTTATATCTTACCCTCATCTTTTTGTTTTATTAATTTTAAAGGGTAATTTTATGCCTGTATTAATCATTAAGGCATTTTTCAAGCTGGTAATGAATTTCTGTTGATGTTCCATACACAATAAAACATTAAAATGTTCACTATGTCTTTCAGAATGAGTTTTACATGGTGTCTCAAAAGACCTCCCCCTCTTGTGTGGATGAGGGGTAAATGCATAATATTAATACAAAAACACATTTAACACCATGCTAATCATTAAATATATAATTTAACTCACTCCACTTCCATCAGGAATTTCCAAGTAGGTGTTCAGCTGCAGAACAGATGACAGAAGGGGAAGAAGATAGGAGAGAGTTTTTCCACTGTGTGGAGGCCCTACGGCAATGACACTACGACCCCTCAACACAGCAGGCCATACAACTGACTGTATGCATGATGGTCCACAAAATTTAATAGCTTCTAATCTCTAGAGAAAAATGAAATATATATAAATATGAAATTAAAATATTTGATAACAATCTAAATGTTTTTGGTAAAAAAAAATCTTTTTATTTTTCAATATACACCTCTTTTTTTTTTTTTTATTCCTGTAAACTCTGAATGGAGCATAGGGCCGCAACAACACCTCGCCAACAGAAGGTGTTGTTGCAGTTACTTGTAGTAGGTTGGTTTTTACGGGGTGGAGTTGCTAGCCCCGCGCCCAATCCTCCTCCTTTCTCATCCTGGACTTGGGACCAGGCAGAGGTTGGCATGTTTGGTGTGACGGGGATTCGAACCTGCGACCCTCAGATTACGAATCGAGCGCCCTAACCACCTGGCCATGCCAGGCCAGGCCTAATATACAGCTTACCCTCTTTTAATATTACTATGCCATATTCTTCTGTCATAAATATTATAACTTCACAACTACTTAGATTTAGTAAAATTGGTAATAAATTACAATATTTCATTATTGATGTTGAAATACTGATGAAAAAATTAGTATTTAATGGATTTAATACATATACAATAAATAAAATTATTAAAATACTTTGTGATAAAAATATATTAAATAAATATAAAACAGGCATAAATTAAGGAGTTTTGCTTGAACTTCCCAATAAGTATTTCTAGTTTTTAATAAGATCATTATGGCACTATTTTTATGCTGATGAATACCTTATCACTTATAAAGACTCGGTAAAATCTGAAAATTGGTAGTTACAGTGGACTTTATAAGCAAACTTAATGGGTGGTGGTTGGGAGTTATACTAGTTTAGATAACTTGGTTGGGTTTTTATATTAGCATAATCTGTCTACTGTACTACTAATTAATGTAATAGTTTAAGAATTTACTACTATAATGGGGGGCTGGAATGCCAATATCAGGAGGTTAGTTTGTCTTATTTACCCCCAGATGTAAACCCTATTTTCTTTCTTTTTTTAATTACTTTGGAGAGCAGTCACCTTCCCACAACTGCCTGTAGGAAATGAAGGGGCAATACAGATGTGGGACGTTGTGGGCTTGAGCACCCACATCTTGCTCTCCTAAGGTATATATTATATTTATGAATTTGTTTTGCTTTCTTCAACATGTGAGAGTGGCGAATGGAGAATAAGACTGATAGATGGTGTATCCACACCACAATGTGGTTCCTACTTCTGCAATCACCTCCAAATCCCAGGACACATTTTATATTCCACATTATAACCTGTACCCTGGCAACCCTTTTAATTTATGCAGAATCTTCAATTCTGTTTTTTGTTTGGGCTGTATTGTTCATTAAAATGTTGTTTATCACAGGCTTGGATTTGCTGTTCTTAATGCAGTCCTTCTTTTTGATTTTAATTCTTGCTTAACTCTTTAAGTATTCATTTTCTATATATATATATATATATATATATATGTATATTATACATGTGCAGTAAAATACTTTTCATTTGCATGTGATTTCTGATTTTCTGGTCTAGGCTCTATCAACATACATAGCATTTGTTAAACAACAGACTATATTTCTGAAACCATAATAATTAGATTTGTGAAACTATAATCAGCTTTGTGTTCCTTTAAGTTGTCCATGTTGTGTTACATCCAAGTCTCATGTTTTATTACATTAGTTATCCCATGTAACAAGTCTTGTGAAGTGAAACTTGTTATGTTTGATTATGTAAAGCATGGAGTTTGATGTATAAGATTTTCATGTTTCATAAATTCATTCATATTATGCTAGTTTTGCCATGTGGTTCATTTTGTTAATCCACCTTAATAAAAGGTTGACCTCATTCATTTAAGTGTAACTGTACATCAGTATACTTTATGTGACACGGTTAAACACCAGAAGGTAATGTATTTGTACAAACTATGTTGATTGTATTTGAGTTATTAGCTTAACTGAGAGTTACTGATAAACTGCATGAGCTAAATTTATAAGAAAAAAGATTTTATGCTATTTATTACCAAGTTACTTGTGTCTACAATATTATTGGTTATAGGGTTACTTACAACGTACGAATCTCTCACAAACAAAAATGTAAGCAAAAAATACCATCAAAGATTACAATTAATCTTACTAATAACTGTTTGGATTTCTTCCATATTTTACATATATAATGAGTAATTTCATCCAATATTTTGGTCACTTACTTACACTGATTGTTTAATCATGATGCAATATGTGGGCCCCACCAATAATGAGCAGTATAAGAATTTTAGTAAAGTAAAAAAAAGAAGAAAAAAGTTGGTTATCTTAAATCATTTATACAAACGTGAAGACAGCAGATATGAAAATTCTACTTATAACTGATAATTTAACACAGTACTGCTTTAAAAAGATTATAATTTCTCTAATTAATAATATTCAAGCATTTTAAAATGAAATGGATACTGTAGTATTGTTAAACTTCAATGACACATCTTTGAAATATGTTAGAAATAATTTTATATTTATATTTGTAAAAATGAACAAAAATTTTGCTTCATTTCAGTAAAAGACAAAAACACACAAGATTATGTTGCTGGTGTACTTAAAATTTAAATCATCAAATAAGAAAGTAGAAAAACACTCATTAACTTTGATTTGTTTTTTAGCTTTTCTCCCTGTCAACTGCTGTATTTTATTTGGAAAAAATTAACCTTTCTGATTTTGGTTTTGATAATTTCACAAATTAGGTTGTTTTTGTGTTACTTTAATAAATTTAAATCTACTTCTTATGTAATCATTGTTTGCTAGAATTCAGTGATGAGTATCGACTACTTTTAATTTTTAGGAATATATATGGTTCAAAGATGGCACAATCTTGTAACTTTGCATACATTTATAACAGTAGAACCATCTATGGACACGGGACAATCAGTGATATGCTTCTTTTCAGAGAAAACCAGGTGTGAAAATAAAAAAGTGTAATATGTTTATTTAGAGGATAATACATATTTTCGTCCACTTCAAATAAAAACATTTATTGAGTTTGAGAAATAGTACTATACCCTGATATATAATTAGCAATAATTACCAGAATACGATGACTTAAAATAATAATAAACAAAGCAAGACACCATCCACCTCAAATGAAGAACATGAAAAATGTCAGAAAGTAAATTTTTTCTAAAGGTCAGCAACTTGATGAGAAAAAGAAACGAGCTCAAGGAAACAGCCCTGACAAAAAAATAACAGGATTTGATCCAGATTAAACAAAAAATAAAAAAAACCCAGACAAAACAAAAATTATGTTGCATTCAAAATGGCCTAAAAGCACAGATAAATAGGGGAATAATTCTAGGGAAAAACATTATCCCTTGCTGTGGCCAAAACTAACATCACCTAATTCTAAGTACCAATCACAACAGAAAGCTTACATTTTTCTTACAATGAAAATGTATTTCCGATACATACTTAACTCTCACGTAAAACAATCTCGATCTACTTCTGCCCTCTAAGCATTGCTGAAAACTTTTCATGATGATTGCACTAGTCTATATACCCCTTCAATTTTGTGCCATTTCTGTACATATACATATCATGTGACTACTCTTCACCAATAGTATTGCACCACCTATATTGGTGCAGCTAGCTCCCTCTGCTTTTCCCACTCAATCCTCACTTTTGAGAATTGGCAGGCTCTAAAAGAAGAACACCAACCATGGAAAAGAAGGTTGGGAAGTGTGGTGTAAGTGGAGGTAAGTACCTATCAGAAATACGTTTTCAGTGCAAGAAAAATGTTAACTTCTGATAAGATCTTCTCACACAAAGCTCGAATCCCACATTACAAAGGTAGAGTGGCTGGTTTAAGTGCACAACATAGAAGCCAAGCAGAAAGCAACTTTCCAGAATGAAAGGGTGTGCTCCGAGATGAAAACAAAGCACACTTGAGGGGTACCACGCTACTTTGGAATAGGTATACTCTTTACATTTGAGGTAGAAAACTAATCTAATATGGGTGGAAAAAAAGGATGTGTGCAAATGGAATTCTTTCACAGAGGTGCATGCCATAGTATAATATAAACAGAATTAGCTATGTACATACACAACCTCAACTGGGAAGACAAGGTTCCATAACTCATCCTCTGCATTAGGAGGATGTGCACAAATGCAATTCCTTCACAGAGGTGCATGCCATAATAAAATACAAACAGAATTAACTACGTACATACACAACCTCAACCGGCCAGACTAGGTTCCATAACTCATCCTTGGCATTAGGAGGTTGAAGATCAAAAAAGATATACTGTAACATAAACATAATGGACTGTGTTATATATATACTCAACAACCCAAACTATATGTAAACAGTGTATCATACGTCAAGCAAACAGAATTACACAGAGGAAGTTAGCTTTTGGCCAATACTGGACAAATTCCCAAAACCACCATAGGAGCACGAAGTACAACAAACAAACATGTTTTTACGGGATCATGGCATTGCCTCAACTCAACCGTAAGAACAGGGCAATATCTATAACCAATATTACAAGCAGGAATCATAAATCACTGAACCATAAATGCAGGAAAGAGACATTCTGCATCTGGAATTACAAGGAGACAAACTGCTCAACCATAGGAACAGTGAACTTACATCTTGTAGTCCGCATTACGGAGCAGACAAAGTCCCCCAAACTCAACCAAAGAAGCAGGGAAAGAACCTCTTGCAACTGGAATGAAGAAGGGCTTCTACTGCACACATCTGTAAGAACAGAGTGGTGTCATCCCAAACCTGATATAACGAGGAGGATCTCACATATGCTGGACCTTCTCCAACCTATTGTTTTTATACTTCTTTTGACAGCTGTCCACCTGGGTAAAAGTATCCAGGGAAATTGAAAGGAGGGAAACCAGCTTTGCCCTCTTCTCACCGAGTGGATAATAATGAGTAATGGATAATAATGAGTAATAAACTCATTCAAGAGGAAGTCTCCATAGACCATCACCTCAGCAAATGGGAACTGGAAAGTGGTAAGGACTCCCCTGCTCCACTGGAAGCAAAAAGTAGGGAAGTAAATGCAGTGGGGAGTCCAGAGGAACGTCACACCAATGAAAGTGCAATGGGTGTCCGCAATTCCGTATTTTAAAAAGCAGACCAACCCCCAATTTATTCAATCAAAAGATTGGCAGGAATGGGCAGAAATCTCCTTCTGCTTTTCCAGTAGTGTGAGAAATGCTAGATTTTTTTCTCTAAGCATCCCCTCTTCTATAATTTATTTACCACCCCTCCAATAAGTATGAGATTCAATGTAAGTTACTCATTATAAAATTGTCATTGATCAGGCAAACCATAATTTTTATAGCCTTCAATTTTGTTTGGTTACAGAGCCATCAAATAGAAAAATCAGACCCCTCGTGCCACACTCACCTGTCACATCCTCTCTTTCAGGATTTTTTAATAGCTCTCTCTTTCCTTTAACTCTATATTATCTATAACCAATAGAAAGCCAAAGTTTCATCTATCAAATGATGTAATATATTTCTTTGTTTTCTTAATGGAGAATTGTCAATTTCATTGTTAGTACAAGCTTCGTTCCCATGGGAAAGATAACGACTAGCTTTGGTGAATTTGTAACAGCTTTTGTCACATAGTTAGAAAGCCAGAAAAACTGTTAAGAGTTAGAGGAAATTGTCGGTTTTTTGCATGTTATTATTCTATGTTCTTTGGTCATTACTTAATTAAATAAAAATTATTTAGTGCATTACTACCATTAGTATAAACAAAAAGTAGGGTTAAGTGTGATCGACAATCAACAGCAAGAAAAAAAGAAGAATCAGTTAAATACTTTATTTCTTGTTTTTCATGTTTATTCTTTATTTATTATTATAAAAGTAACTAAAATGTATAGACAAGGATCTCTTTAGATTAGTTAAGGTTAAATTAGGTAAAATAAATAACAATAATAATTATAAAATAAAAATATTTCACAAGGCATGCAAGAGAGCAGCTTGTGGGTAATGTAATTTTATAGCATAACATGAGCTCCACATTCCACAAGTGATTTACAACTTATAATGGTGCGAATAGTAGTTAGACAGTTCAAAGGATAATAAAACAATAAAATTTTATTATAAATAGATGTATACTGTTATGAGTTTAAGCTACTTAGGATAAACAAATGTAGTTTCATGTTACAATTTGAAGTCCTTCTAGAAAGAAAAAAGGGTAATTTAGAATTATTTAGATTTTATTTGTGGTTATAAGGTCAGTCAAATTGACCAACCTTGTATACAGTTAGGGCAGAGAAAATAACAGATAAAATATAAAATTTTACTGAAAACAAACATCTGAAATGTATTTATTAATGTATTTAGTAGGTTTTAGAGATTACGTAAATCAAATCTGAGCTTTTCGAGATGAAGAAAAGTATTTTTTAATCTCAACATGAAAATCACTTTGCACATGAACTATTCAAAACAAATATTTTTTAGTTTATTTAAAATACTTCACTAAAAATAATTTTTTTTTTTATGTGAAAGACAATATTTACTGAAAGACTGCCAAATTTTGTGAAGATATACATACTATATTAAAAGTTAGTAGTATCAAATCTATACAGATTTTATAGGAGTAAAAAAAGATCATGTAGTTGGTCAAAATTATTAAGTGTAGGTTGAGAGAGTTAAAGGCAGAATTACCTGATCGACGACGTCCACATGCCAGGAATAGAAGGAAATAGGTCTTGAAGGAGAGGTGGTAGATGGAACATAAAGATAAAGGTTCAAAGGGAGGACAGGAAAGGCATAAAGGACCACACTGATATCCCAATCAGGCAAATCAAAGGACACAGAGGATACAAGATTCAAAAGGAGGGAAATGACAGGGGAAGAAAAAACCTGGAGAAATGAGAGGTGTTTGACAAGGCTGGCCAATAGCTAGACATGGAAGAAGTGGACAAGCCTTTTTCAAACAACCAGGTGAAGAATAGGGAAAGATGAGCTTTTTGTTAAATTTGGAGGGGTATTCATCTATGCTTACCCACCAATTTGACTCCTCTCCAGAGCTCTGTCTTTATTCCACACCACTCTGGGTCTTGTCCTACTTGTGGCTCTATCTTGGCTGGTGCAACCATCCTTCCTACTGCTTTGACTTCTACTTGTACAACCACCCCTACCATTACCTCTTTCTCAGTCCCTATTCTGTCAACTTCAGTCAGACATTGTTCATCCAGATGTCACCACACTCTGTTATCACGTATGTCTTTTGTGAGGTCCATTGTCTCAGCCCAATGACTGACTCTATGTGTTGCATCTTTCCTTTCCCAATCCAATAGACTTTCTTCCATGTCCATTTACCATAGGCAGTGGTATACCTTCTGCCTTAGGCCTCTTTGATGTGGTTTTCATCCTTCTCACCCTTCCATTCCAAGGAAGTTTGATGTTCCAGTGGGTGAAAGCAAATATGATGTGTCCCCAGTTGAGAACACACCCATCTGAAGACCTGTGGATCGAGGGACCACTCTGTGAAAGAATTTGTTGGGAAAGATAATTAATCCACCAACACATTCAGGGAGCCAAGAAAATGGCAAGCTAAGACCACAATGTGGTGACTGTGGCCCAGAAAGGAGATCCAGGATCTGAAAACACTGAGACCTGGAACTGGTATCCCCTGACATTGTTATATGAGTGAACACTGTGGAGATGTCTGAATGTACCATAACCAATACCCACTGAGGGGAAGTTCCACTGATCTAGAAATGTCCACCAAAAGGAACTCATATGAACACAACCCATGGAAATGACAGCTTCCAAGGAAGCCCACATCCCCAAAGAGATAGAACATCACAAGCTGTAAGAAATTTGAGGTGAGGAATGTGTAATCTGCTTGCTCCAAACCTGAAGACGAAAAGGCTGGGCTTGACTGTGGTTAAAAAGAGGTCTCCTCCCCCCTCTGAATGAATGGGGTATTGAGAGGGGGTAACAATGGACTTCCCCACTGTCAATTCCAAACATGCTGCTTCCTATATGAGCAGAGGAGTGTGGTCTCTGGACTGTGAATGGGAAGAAGTAAGCATGAGACAGTCATCCATTGAAAGAAGAGTGCAAAGTCTCATAGGGTTAACATATCGGGCAAGAGTTTGAACACTTAAAGAGCCAAGGTTAGTCTGAATGGTAGGTTCCTGAACTGAAAAACTTGACTTAGAGCAATGCATAACTATCATAAGTATCAACAAAGTGGGCACTGTGGGGAAGAACTCCAAATTGTACATTATGAGGACAAAATGATGTTTCTATTATCACAATTATAGGAAAAGGAGCCAAAGTAAAGCTCAGCCCTATGAACAGGAAAGAAATGAACATATCAGTGATGTAACAGAAAAAAAGAAAAGCCCTACACTGACAAAAATTAGGACGATAACACACATAGTTAACGATGACAGAAAAACATTATTCAGATAGATCAATGAAATATATCATATTAGCAGTAACGATATGTAACGTACAAACTATCTAAATATACCTAGTTAACAAAGTACTTATAAATATCAAACGGACAAACTATCTAAATGTTCCTAGTCCACAAGATATATAATAATAATAACGAATGTACAAACCGACTAAAATTACCTAGAAAACACATTAATAATCAATATCTAACTTACCATTCATATAAATTAATCTAGACAACAAAGGACACATAATTATATCCTATACTTACGAAAGTTAGGATAAGTCACA